ATAATAGTAAAGTTTTCTTCATCTTTTTTATTAATTTTTTCAAGATATTGAAATACATCTTCCTCCTCTTCACAACAGAATGTTGTCTATATATTGCTATTAATAAATTCTTTTTTGAAGAACTAAAAATATTTTGGCAAGCCTAATATATTTTGTAAATATGCTATTTATTTTGTTTCAGTTTCTTCTGAGAGCCTGGAAGTAAATACACACATTTTATATTCATCATCCACCTTAATATAAAAGAGATTGATATTGGATATCTTTGGTCTATTTCTTGTTTTATATGTATATTGTTTAGCTATATTGTCTTCTTTAATCTTCTCATTGATAATTTCCATTTCGATTATATTTTTGAGTTCCTTATCTTCCATTTCAATTTCAGTAATATTTGGGATTTCAACTGTTGTGGTTGTTTGAACTTTCATAATGATTGCCAGCTATATATAGAAAGATTGTTTTCAGGTGTTGTCTGACTTGACATAATATTTTGTAAAGAGTATTGTACTTGTTCAGCTTGTTCTATTATGTTCAAGTATTTATTCTCTAAAAATAGAGCTAGAAGATTTTCTTCTTTTCCTTATCCTTTGATCCATAGAAAAATAATATGTTGTTTAAGAACGTTGGCTTTAATAAAGATGATATGATCGACATTCAGGATTCTAGCAATAATACTGTCTATAATTGAGTATTGGGTTGGACCTAAGATAGGGTTTAGAATGACTTCTTAAGTTGAAGTAATATTAAGAAGGGTTTGTGTTGCCTATAGTTTCTGTTATTGATCATATTTATCTAATAATTGAGTTAGGATCTCTATAATATGTGCTTCTTTTTCTTTAGTGATCTATAAAAGCTTGTGTTTTTACATAGACATATTGATCATGTGATATGAAGTAAGTTAATTGTGTTTGGTATTGTTGTGTTTTGCTGATAATTGTTGCTATATTTTCTTAGACACATGTTGTAGGTTTATTTATTCCTTATTATTATTTTGGTAATATGAAAAACCTTGTTGTTTGTTGTAATGTGTTGGTAATATTTGTTTCATGTGTATATTGTGATAGTATTGTTTATATTGTTGATTAGTCAATAATAAGCACATGAGATTATGGAATTGTTGATAATTGATTTGTATAAATATATATAATTATAGGATTGTTGATAATTGATTTGCATAAACATGTAAAAAGTGTATTAACATTGTTTATTTGACACGTTTTTGAGCTTGTTATGAAAAATATACATGTCTGTATTTGCATGACATAATATTATTGAAATGCTATTGTTGTAGTGTATATGTTTCTTTACTGTATAGTCAATGAAGCTTGAACATCCCTCTAGGTTTTATGAGTATTTGGATTTGAATTGATTTATCAGTTTGAGTTATTGTTTGTAAAGCTTCTCTTGATGTCTAGAAAGATACTAACCTGCACTGGCCTGGCTAGGAGCTTTGTGAAGTTAATATTAGGCTTCCAAGAGCTTACTGTGATTCAGCCTTTCTTGTTGTTTTTTTCTTTCTAAAAGAAGAAATTTATATAGTAGAAGTTAGTAATTTTTGTAAAACTTATCTCTTCTGCACTTTGTAAAAAGTTCTTGAACTTGTTTTTATAAGTTGTTTAATTGTAAAGGTATTTTCTCTTGTTTTTTGACTAGTTTCTCTTTTTCTCAAAAAATTATTAAAAAATAAAAATTTCTAAAAATTTGGGGATCAACAGAAAGAGTTTTTTTTTTTTTTATAAATTATTTTGATCTTATATTATATTTATTTTAAATATATAAATAAATTTATCTTTGTTTAATCTATGGATTTATAGTATAGTAATAGTATTTTCAGAACACAATCACAAGGTTCAGAGTTCAATATCACATAAGGATCATATAAGAAAAATAATTTGATTATACAAGAATGAAACTTTTGGCCTCCCTGTTAATAACTGGACTAAAAAAGATTTCCTATAAGAATTGCATAAAGAAAAATTTCTAACTTAATTATACAAATTATACCTGATCTAATTTTTGAACTAGATAGGAAATAAACTTCTTTTTAAAACTATGATAATTATTTAAATACATCATTAATCCCAAACTGTATCAGTAGACTTTAAGACTCTTAGGACTTTAGTAATTATTTAAACATTCCCTATTTCAAACTATACTAGCAAACTTTGAAATCTGATCATTCTAGTTTGGAATATCCCAATAAAATACTTGCTTAAATAAAGAACTTATTAAATAAGGCTTGTCTATGATGTTGCAGGTAATGACAAATAGGATAGAAATCTCTTCTAAGGTTTAAGTAAAAGTATCAAAATATTTGGATAGTTGAAATAACCCTTAAGAATTTAATATTAGTGTATTTTTTTTTTTTTGTTCTCTATTAAACTAGTTATATATACTTTATTAAACATTTATAAGTTATATATATAACATGAGATGCTAAAGCTAATTTTTTAACTAACTCACTTGTCTTAATTGGTTTACCTTTCTAAGTATAACTTTGGGAGTAATTTATTGCTCTATTAGAAGTTCAAGTAAATATCCTTCTAACTTCTAATATCATTGCTATAGTTTGATCCTGAATTTTAAGTAGCATAAATCCTCACCAAAGGTGATTAATTGACATAAAACATATCAGTTTTTGAAATGTAAATAAGCTTCAATTGATCATATGTACATGTCTCAATACATTATTGGTAATATAGGAAAAAAAGTTTTAGAAAAAATGTCTCTTTCAATTGTATATATTCAACCTCCAGGAAACAATTATGATATTGAAAGGTGAGCAATAGGTAAAAAAAAAAGATTCAACTCCTATTTCTCACTAAGTTCCTCAAGTGGTGAAAAGACTTTCTTAAACAAAAGTTGAGGTCCAAGCTTCTATTCTGATTAGGAAAGTTCTTGAAAAGATTTCTTTATCCTAATCAGGTAAACTCTTTTGTAATATGACACTAATTCCAATAGCATTAAGTAAATCTGTACATTAGCAAAAAGATAAATTCTTTAAACGTTCTTCTTGAAATCACTTTCAGGAATAGTTAAGCTCCTCAAATATTATGAAACTTAGAAAATATTTCAATTAGACAAACCCTTTTCAAGAGAAAACTGTGAAATAGAACGAGAATCTTTTGAAAAGCTTTGAATTATCTATTTTTTTTCTTTTTTTCTCCAATGCCAACTTTAGCAATTTATCATTTTTTGGGATAATCAATAGTGACAAACTGTTAATAATGACCTTGGTTAATTTAGAGACTAATGCCAAGCTACTAGGAAAATGTAATATTGTTTTCAAAATCTAACTTAGATTATCTAATTTAGATTTAGTTTTGTTTAGTTCAAATTAGCTTAGTGGACTCCTCATATTTTTTAAGTAATGTAGTCCTTTAACTAATAATATATAATGATGTGTTAGTCACTTTGTGAAAGTCTATAAACTTTATGATATCTTTCAATATCTCAATAAAGACATGCTATTGTGACATAATTGCAGGTTAAAAAAAAAAAACCAATATATAATTAAAAATTCAATAAATATGTAAATTTTGATGAATATTTAATGATTTTTTGAGAAAATTTTTAATAAAATATATAGTAAAAATAACATTGATGATTTATTTATGATTGACATTAATATGCCAAATTATTTATTTTTTTGATAAATGTTACATATCAAATAAATATTTTTCAACTAGTATTTAAATTTAATTTATTGGATTTTAAAAAATTTAATAATATTTATAATATATAAATATAAAATATTTTTATCTTTTTTGTAATTCTTACTATTAAAAAAATTTTTTTTTAAAAAATATAAAAAAACTTTTGATTATTATTATTATTATTATTATTTGAATTTTTTTTTTTCAAAATTAGATATATTTTTTTTCTTTTTTTTTTTGTTAACGCCGGGATGGTATGTCACCTTTATTAATTATCCAAATTTTGCATTTCAAAAATTGCATTATTTTTATATCGCTCTTTATAACTGATTTTTTTTTACTTGATATTAATAAAAACCTAAAAAATTAGCTCGGAGGTAATGATATACATACATATATTATAAGTTAATAAGTTATGCAGATAGTTTAATAAATATTTTTCAAGATACAGTAACTGGCCTCCGCTGCGTGCTTTTCAATTATTACTATTGTATTAAAATACATTTTGATACTAAGTTCTATATTTGTAGTGTCGTCTCTTATCATTAGCCGCAGTATTGATAACATAACTCGGTTCCCGTGATCTTAAATCTTCAAATGATCAGTACAATATATGTACATTCCCTTTTTTCCCTTCTTTGGTAGTAGATTTCTCTTTTTCTTTCTTTTTACTCACAATTATTATTTATACCCGAAAAAAAGGTTTAAAATTTTTTTTCATTTTCCAAGTCGCCTAAGTACAACACTAAATTTGGCAAGCCATATAATGGCTTCCTCTACGAAAGATAACAATGACCCAAATGTTGCGTCGATTTCGACACCGCCTTCGGGTCATTTACATTCAAACCAGTCTGCATACGTTGTTTGGAACCTTTTTAACATACCTACACCCACAGCCCCAATCGCCCACGTGTTGATCATCGTGGCAATCTTGATACTCGCTTTACTTGTACATAAGGTATGTTCTTCTTACTTTGCTAAGGTATCTGATCTAAAGTTGGGTAAGACCATAAGTATCTTACGATTGGATTGATTTATGTGAGAAAAGCTGTTTACGCATTTATGGATCATCGAAATCTCGACCCAGTTAATAAGATAAATCATCCATACGGTTTGGAATTTTTTTTCTTTGGGTAATCTTATATCTGCGTGACACTGTTTATCTTTATAAACATAGTATCAAGAATTAGTGTAACATTATTGGAAAGTGGATAACAAGGGGGACCACATTATCTCGGAATCTTTAATCTCTGTGATTGGTATGTGCCGTTAGCTAACATAATTTATCATTTCTTTCAAAATAAGCATATGGTCAAGCCTAGCTGGAAACCTGGCTCCCAGCAAATGAGCGAGAAAATTAGATTGTTTATGGCTGGATCCATCGGCGAGACAACCCGCAAGGTGTTTAACGGATGGTCGAGATCGCGTCAAGATGTTGCATCAATTTCAAATAAGGATGAAAAGAGTAGACGCATGTCTCCCGACACGTCCTCTTCGTCATCCACTTCACTATCACCTTCTGTGCTACCAACGCACACAGCATCTCCGAGAATATATAAAAAGACGTCGATCTCCCAGCTAGCACCTCAGAGACGTTCGAATTCGCGTCAAAAAGCACAAGCACAAACTTCACCTATAAATAATATACTCTCGACAATAGACGATAACCTGCCTACAGCTTCTCCTTGTGGAGATCCACCTGTCGAGCAACCTTCCACGTGCGTGGAACAGGACGAGTCAAAGGTGACGGTAACAATCAATGTTGTAGATTCATTAAATCAGACTGAACAGTCAATAAATGATGATACTGATATTTCCCGAGAAAGTAACTGTCAAATAGAAACCCTTTCCGATAGTCACTTGAACGCGAATACCTCCCGGTCAAGTGACCGCAAATTTTCACCTGAACATGTGGAAGATCACGTTGATTCATGGAATGGATCCCGCCAAAACTCGGTTGCAAACGGAGATGCGACTATAGCATCATCCTCTGTCTCCTCAACAGACGACGTATCACCAATATTACACAAAAAGAATTCAAACTCTCGATTAAAAGAACATCGAAGACAAAATTCTCGTCAAAAGGATCAAACTGTTTTTGTCGAACAAGAAAGCGATGATGGATATCAATCAGATCGTAATATAGTTCGTCAAAATTCATCGGAAAACCGAACCATTGAGAAAAATCATCAAGACTCAACCTTAGATGAATCTTTTATAAAATCTGGGCATAGAAGAAGAAAGAGAAGAGCAAAGAATTCTAAGAATAATAATCAACAAAATTTGCAACGAGAACAGCAGCGCCCCGAACAAAAATCACAAAAACAAGGACCGTCGAAACAAGAGCTTGTGCAGCATAAGAATAATGAACTATCTAGATCGCGCAAATCTGGCGATCCAGTTAGGTCAATGTCATATCCACTTTGGCAGAAGCAGTTGCACGTACATCAACATTCCGCGCAACAACAGAATGAACTGAACAAATCTCTTCCAACCAGAGATTCAGCAAAAACGTTTTGGCAAAAATCGATGAATCAAAACCCGGACACTGCACTACTGCAATCACAGCAACGTTCGGATCAATCACCTTACTTCATTTCTGTCAACAGACGTAATAGTGTTCAGACTTCAAATACCGCAAAAGTGGAGTTGAATAAAAATACGGCTATATTCAGAGAATCGGAATTATTTGCATCATCATCATCTCATAGCGAAACTCCAGCACAAATTGTTCATCCAATCGATCAATTGAACACCTCTATGACCAGATTTACCTCTTACGCAGATGTAATTTCTCCTCATAACCGTCATTCTTCTGTTACGACGAACATCCCTCCGAATACGAACTCATTGACGTCAAATGAGGGTAAAATTACGACACCCGCACCCACTGCTTCTGTGAGAAATGTCACCAACTGTCAATGGTATTCACCTTTCGGATCGGGTCTTTCAATTCAATTCACACCACCTGCACCCCCCCGGGATAGTCATAGTCAATTGTCATCCTTCTCAAAAAATTCTCTATTTTCCTCTTCATCAATGTGCAACTCATCACCAACGATATCCGAACGCCATCGATCCGTAATTGCACCACCCCCAATATCTGCTCCAAAAAATGCTTCATCAATGTCGATGTTTACGTCATCTCCCCTTTCTACTTTAAACGCGTCTTCATCGAACAGGAATCAGCTGAATTCTGGGAATACATTGTCGACATCACCTTCCTCGTTTAGGGGAACACTTTTCGGTAAAAAGCATCCAATTTTGGATAAAGAGAAAGGTGAACTATCTGATCAGGAAGTGGAAGAAGGAATAGCACAGGAAGAACAGAATGTTGAATCTTCGGTGGTAAAAAACAGTATTAGTCGGGAAAAATCAAATGAGAAAAAAAATCCAAGCACTGCGTGGTATGAGTCGCAAAGATCTCAACAACCACAATTCTCTTTATTTGATAAGCGGTTGTCATTCATATATCCTCCAAAATCTTAAAAAAAAAAAAAATCTTCCATTATTAAATGAATATAAAGTTGAAACGAATCGCCTTGGTGATAAAAGATTTTTTCATGCATTTATTATATTTGCTTGTGTCATTATTTCTGATAATTGAATACTTGGATTTTCGTGAAATGATCATTTCGAATGATCGACCGAACCATGTGCTGCGGATAATCGATGAATTTCCAACCAATCATGTCCACAAAATTCTCTTAATATTCTTTCATTTTGGCAATCTACTATTAAGGAAACCATGTCAACAGTTACAAGATTATTGAGACCAACTCGTCTTTACTTCACTACGTATCCAAGAGCAATTAGAACTTCAAGGGAAGCTCGAACAGTGTTTTCGTTCTTCAACAGTAAGGGTCAACTCACCGAATTTAAACTCTTTCGGGTACATGATTTTTTTTTTCTCTTTTAACTGCTCAAAGACGTCACCGAAACAACAATATTTATCTTTTTTTTTTTTTTCTTTAGACATTAGAACAGGACAACAAGAGAATATCCAGTTTTGGGTGGACTAGTTATAAGGATATTGAAATTGCCAAGGGCTTAGTGCAAGAGGAAATTTGTGATCTACCAGACCCATTAAATTGCAGCATAAAGATTCAAGAATCTGTTAACGAGGGTATTGAATATTTAATGATCGGAATAAATCGAATCGATATCTAACTAATTTGTTCATTTTTCATTTATAGACTTACATATTAACCAACAGGTACCCTTATCTAAAAGGCAACCAAGATTTCGTGGATTTTTTATTCAAGACGTGGATCAAGAATCAGAAAAGAAATTGGATTCGTCTATAACAACAACAGAACACACTATTGAGATGGCAAATTCCGTCGACATTAACGATACATTTAATCCCATCACCGAAGAGACTCAAAAAGGAAATTCACGTTAATAACCGTACTGGAGATCCCAATTGTACGGAGAACTTTATTATACTTTAGTACCTGCAAATTCCAAATCGTAAATCTGTAGTTAATACTCGTAGCATTTGAGATGGAATAACATTCTCTTAATCCAAAGAATGTACAGTATATATTAATAGAAATGTCGTTTGCGCGTGTATAATAATTTTTTTCTAAAAGAAAAAATTATGTTAGCAAAAATAATGTGCAGTAAGCAATTTTGCTTTTCACAAATAAGGATTAATTATTAAAATTCCTGATATACAGTGTATGGTACACTTGATTATAAAATTTGACCATCGGTGCATTATTTTCCGTTGCACCGCACGTACCGCGCATCCCGATAGGAGAATCCAATTAATCGTACTTTTTTCATACTTTATTTATTCTTATTAGGATAATCATGGCGATGAGCACTTGAATGATTGATTTGATCGAGATTATTGAGCTCTATGCTTTTCGAAGTAACCCGTTGAAAATTTTTTTTTTTCTACATGTAAAAGGTCAAAAATCTTGTGATGTTGTGTAATTAAATATAAAGGATACATTCGGATATCATTATGGTTTATTTAAATTGAAATGTATTTTGAAATTTCTTTACTAGCGCATGAGTTGCAGTTGAAATTATTCGTGATCGTCACGATATACCAAATTGAATTAACTATATCTTAAGGGAATCGCCATTCAAATCATAATATCGGTTTTAAAATGCAGCTCACTTTTTTTCAGCAAAATATTTTAAAGAATATGCATTAGCTATCTTTCTTAAATTCCTGCAGCAAATCAAAAAATACCGGCGTCATGCATTGCATTAATTACGCCGCCTGATGCTGCCTATTACCAAATAGCATATATGACAAATGCATTGTGTAGCTCATTTACTCATTTACGAATCCATGAAAATGGTTTAGCTATTTCTCTTTCATATAGTACTAGCAATCACTTTTATCATGTGTATCATTAATCGGTAATGTGTTTGCATCATCGCGATCGGGCTCAACGATAATACTAGAGAGATGATATGGTATGAAGGCAGTATAATTAACTTTTTTGTCTGATTAAAGATACTTTTTTTATTTTCTCATAGTAAACTCTGCGATAATGGTTTGATTAGGTTTTTTTTTTTTTTTTTTTTTAAAGAAAATTATCGCGTATTATTTTAGTGAAATGACGTCTTTCGTGTTAATAGCCAATCAACGGTTGGTTTTTTTGATACACGTGTTAAGGATCCTTCTCTACTTTCATCACCAGCCCATTGGAAAATGTGAAGGATTTTTAATAAGAAATTGTGACTATTCAAACTTGGGTGTAGCAATATATATATATATATATATATATATACTATACACAGAAGGAAGTTTATTGATATGCAAAAATAGTTAGTAATCTGTGTTGGTGGCGTAATAGATGATGGTGCGAGACATGCGAGAACATATTGCACCTTTACAAAATCAAATTTGCTTGTGGGAACGAGTCACGCGACAATTCTATTATTTATCTATAATAAATTGTATAATATGCGAGTCCATGCGAGTTTTATTTTACTTTTGAGAAAATGTTTCTAATCGATTTTATTATACCGGTTATCATATTTACAGTATTACACAATGATCCCTCTGGAAATCTAACTCAAAGAGTGTTGATGAAAGCAATATAGACATGAAGTGTCACATTCTCAAATGACGAGGATTTCATTGTTGATGCTAATAAGGACAAGAAGATAGGTTTTTGCCGCTTTAACATGGAACCTTTATACGCTCACATTGAAAATATAATTTCTCCAAAAGAAATCAATTGGAGTTTCAGTGATCGAGCAGATTAGAATTCATATATGACAATATGAATGAAAGTAAAATAGGAATATCGGCGTAAATACATTCGAGGAAATTCAGTTGCTATTAGCTAGTGATGATTAGATAAGGTTAACCTTAATATTGAGCATATCCTGTATAAGGAGAGGTAAGATTATGTGATGCTTCCTTTAATACTCGATCGACGATATGAACTAATGCTCATAACTTGTATTTTTTTTAATTTATTAAATTTGCAATTTAGAATCTTGACATTGGCCTAATTGTAGTTTTATAATTTTTTACTTTATAACTTGGCTATTATGATTAAAGAAAGAAATCAATATTTCAAAAAATATTAATATTTTTATTGATAAAAAAATTTTTTTTATTATTGAAATTTGTTAATTTTAGTTTATTTGATTCTTTTAAGATTACTAAAGATGGATCCCTCAAGTAGTTGGTAGAGACAAAAGTAGGAACATAAGTCAGGTTGACTTTCGGTTATAAGGACATTGACTTTTGGTTATAAAAATATAAATTATATTAACTTTTAATTAAAATATATAAAATTTTAATACAGTAATAGAAATTTTTTTAAATTTTGAATTTAAAATATAAAACCTTTTAACAATAAAATAAAAAATATATAACAATTATAATGATTTTAAAAATGTACAAAATATATATATATATAACAAATTTTATAATTTTTGATAAATTTTTATTAAATAAATTGATACTTTTCTATTAATAAAAAATATTCATTTTATGATTTTAAACAAAGTTTTATAGATATCTTTATATATTTCTCTAATAATTTATTGATATAAATATCTATTACTTTAAAGAACTTTAAAAATATCAAATTTTAAACAATCAAACTAAATATTAAATAACTATATAAAAAAAAAAAAGATAATTTTTTAATAATTTAAAGATAAACAAGATAAATATTGATATTTTAAATAAAAAAATTTGAGATAAATTTAATTAGTCAAAAATGTTTTCACAACAAAAAATTTGATTGTCATTATATTTTGATTCAACTATATGTTACTAAAAATAAATTAATTAATCAGGAATTTTTTTGAGGTAGATCTTATGATAAAAATTTGTATATTATATTCTTACTTTTAGTTATCAAATCATTTATGTCCTTAATTTCATATATCAAATTGATTTTCAGTTATAAAATGGACTTTTTATTATAAAAAATTGTTTTTTTGATTATAAAAAATTGATTTTCAATTATAAAATTGAATTTTGGTTATAAAATTGATTTTTGATTATAAAAAATTGACTTTTGATTATAAATTGACTTTTAGTTATAAAAATTTAACTTTTGATTATAAAATTATATCTTATAATCTAAAGTCTTGAGGAGATATAATTTACATTTGATTATAAAACTTTCAATTATAGGATATAATGTTAGACTTTAGGTATTTATTATTAAAGATTATAACTTTCTTATTAGGATAAAAATAATTTTAATTATATTAATATTTATTAAATAATAATAAATTATATTTTGATAAAATAGTTATTATTATTATTATTATTATTATTGCTAACCTATAATTATCAATAGCATATCTTTATTAAAAAATTAAAATAAAATCTATAATAGATTATAGACTTTTATAAAATAATTAACTTATCTTTCTATATAAGTACTTTAAGTTAGATTTTGAGAATAATATTATATTTTTCTAATAAATTAATTATAATTACTATTTATTATAATTATTACTAATAATTTATTACTATTGATTAACCCAAACTAGTAAATTGTTAAGTTAATAAGAAAATAAAATAAACAATTAGAGGAAGAAAGCAATTCAAGGTTCTATTAAAAAAATTTAAAAATAAAATAATTCTTTTTTTAAAAGAATTGTCTAATTGGAATAGTCTTCTTGCTTTAATTGAATCTCAAAAAAAAAATCTTTTTTATTATTACTTGTGATATTAAAAAAGTCAAGTAATATTTAATTATATAATTATATTGAATTTTAATTTTTTTATTATGTATTTTAATAATAAACAGGTTATATTGATATAATATATATTATTCTCAATTATATTATTTAAAATTGATCATAGTTTATAGTGAGATTCAGATTTGTAAGGATATAAGTATAAGAAATTATTGTTCAGTATTTTAATTTTATTGGTTTTCTATAATATGTTAATATTTGTAGAATTGTTTTCTTAAAAGATTGTTAAATTAAAATAGATTTATTGCTAGAAAGTTTAGGCATAAGTTGTATTGCAATTTTCTGTAAATTATTAAAGAGATAAAATAATTTGTTATTTTTATCTTATTAATTTGACTTGTTCTATAGATTTATTTATTATTTATTATGACCTATAGATCAATAGTGCAGTGGTTAGCACTCCATAGATCAGATCACAAGATACAAGTTCAAATCCCGCAGAAGGCATGAACATAAAAATCCATTGGCTTAACCATATATATCTGATGTTTCTGAATATAGTTACTGATCAGCAGGGAGGGAATCTACTGATCAAGTAGACAGTCTATATAAAGATTGTGTGACTGTACCAATCTCTGAAGTTAAAGCTAGGACAATCCTGAATTGATAACTTTGCCTATGGCAATGTGACAATAAAAAGAGCAGATTCAATCGATCAATAGAGTGCCTCTGGAATGATACATAACCAAGCACTAAACAGTGAGAGCATCCTCTGTCCTAATTACCGGGAGGCCTTGATGGGAGGGGAAACCCATGGACCACTTCGAAGGACCAAAATACTAAATTCAAGATAAAGAAAATTTGATGGCCTGATAATCAACCTGCTCTTGAAACAACACAATAGAAAAAAAAAAATTGTGTTAGGAATAATTAAGACGGAATCGCATAGCTTTCCGATAAGGTAGTACTTGTATATATAGCATAAGTTGATATAACTAGCTAATATTGATAGGTTGCTAAGAATAGTTGATATACAGTATATAGTACTTATTTAGTGTACATAGAGTATAACAGAGTAATATGTAAAGAGGGATACATATAAATATACTGTACTGTTACTGAGTAGACCTTTGAATTGAATGTAAATTAAAATCTCCTAAATAAAAGTCATGGGTTAGATCATTTCCTTTTAAAGATCAAAGCCACCTACTCCTGATTGCATGTCAGGTAGGTTTCAACCTCTATTGCCTGGAAAGTCTA